CTTATTCAATGTATTCCTTTTTTTTTGACAACTTCTTTATGCGATGATGAGTTGAGTGTTTTCTGTGGCGAAGTACCGGTGTGGAGTTTCTCCGGCGCTGTCTCTGGGTGATGTCGGGCGTGCTGGCCGAGGAGACCCTCCAGCGCTCGGCATTCTGGTGCGGGTGGTGGTGGGAGCAGGCGTTGAGCGGGCTGGCAGAGGCTGAACGGGAGCAGTGATGAGAGTCTGAGTGACACACGGACATGCAGAGAGCGACAGCGGGGGCCGAGGTCAGGGCCCCGAAACACACACAAACACACACGCACGCACGCACGCACGCACGCACGCACGCACGCACGCACGCACGCACGCACGCACGCACGCACGTACGCACGTACGCACACACAAACAGACACAACATGCAGAGTGATGATAAAATCCTCACAATACGAACACATGACTTCCTAAAGAGAGAGTGAAGTCAAACTCCCTCTGGGGTTTGTTGTTCTCGGCTCTGTGTTCACATGGATGGAACAACACTTCCTTCAGTTTATGTTTCTTTCAGAGGCTCAAACATGTTTAAATACGTGCTTTTCTTCACTGAACCCCTCTTACATCTCCACAGCCATAGGCCCTGCCACCGCATTGTGTAAGACAGACGGCCCCGCCCACTCACAGAGGCTGTCTTTTAAAACCAAAGAAAAAACTTTCTATGGCCTCAAAAATCAAACAGATAACAACCGATTCAGATTTGAGATGAACATCATTCATAGAAAATGAATCTTGTTTTCAAATGTTTATAAAGGGTCGCTTCAAGGTTTAGTATCAAAATAACTGATGTGGAGTTGTATTTTGAGCATCCAATCAAATTACACGTCATCACAGTTAAAGGGATGAAAAGAAAGTGTAAAGAAGGGGAAGCTAAAGACTCAAACATAGAAAGGGAATCACAGTAGGACTGAAAGTTAAAGGTGATTCCTCCGCCATACTCACGGGAGTCACTGTTGTTGAGGAGGGGCGGCGCTGCGACTGCGAGCCAGGAAGGACAGCGTCGGCGTCATGAGCCGCTCCACGATCCGGCTCTCCCAGGGGCTCAGACGCAGCTGCGCGGCTGACACAAGAGGGCGCTGTTAGTGTCGGGTCACCTGCCTGAGCACACTGATACTCACCACAAATAAAACAGTACACATGTATACTGTCACACACTGATGGAGGGGTATCGCTGCGTGATGATGTCAGCACATCCTCACACCACACACACACCACACACACACACACACAACACACACACACACACACACACACACACACACACACACACCCTCCTCCGTCTAAAAGCAGAGGGGAGCTTTAGATTGTGTTGGTGTGCTGCAGGAAACATCCTAAGAAATAAATTCTTCCTCTCAAAGGAGGATTTGTCCAGTAAACAGTCCCGGTTAAGATAGTCAAATAAAAAGGTAAATAAACATCATTATTATTATTATGTGTGTTTATTTAGTCGATCAAAATGCCAGAAGTTAAAAAAAAAAAAGCAAGAGGCAACATGTTGTTTTGCAGCCTTTAGATAAAGACACACAGAGGAGCGAGTCCAAGTTAATTTGAATCATCACAAAACCAAGTTGTTGTTTTTTTTTTTTAAATTTGGCCTCACTCAAACTCAAAGCAGTGCACAGGCCGGGTGTTTTCATTAGTCCGATTTATTCTTAAAGCAACACACTCGTCTGACCTTCAAACGTCCTGATGATAAACTGTAAGAGCAACGTGATGAAAGTTCAGCTCATATGACATCGAACAACAGCAGAATGTATGAACTAAGTGCATTGAGATGACCGATGGAGACTCACTCTCTCATGAGGAAATCAAACCTGATGTCACAGGTTGTTTCCATCTTTGATTCTAGCTGAATCAAATCAGTCTGAAAGTATCTGTGAGAAACTTTGGATGCATGTGAGGGAATCTTTTTAGCCGCAGTAAAAAAAAAAAAAGGAGTAGTGACAGATGAATCATTCAGGGTGAGAGCTTCGATCTAAAAACTCTTCACACAGAATATTTTATAAAAGAGACCAAACTTCTTCAACCTTCAACGCTGACTGAATGAAACAAACGTTTGAAGCGTTTCTCTTCAATAATTCAAAACTTCAGACCTGCAGAAAATGCTGGAAACTTACATTGCTTTAATATTTCCATCTTTCTCTTCTTGAAATCTATAATTCAGAGTTAATATTTCACTTTTTTTTACCACAAATTCTGCTTCGGCAGATTCGTCCATGCTAGCTGATTCCATCTGTTTTCAGTCTTTTTATGCTAGGCTAACAATCTGTTGGCTGTAGCTTCATATTTAAGGCACAGACTTTAGAGATGCATCTTGTAACCGAACTCTCATCAGGAAAGCTAAATCAATTTTATCTCAAATTAAAAATTCTGCATACATTTAATGTGACCATGCAGGTTTTGGAATTCAATTTTTTCCATCCTTTTCCTTAAAAATGCAACTACACAGGAGATAAAAACACACAGATGGACACACCATTTCAAACACGACAGTGAGTGTGTATTTTTGATCTCTTCAATCAAAAACGTCAACAACAAAATGTTTTCTTTAGTGATGGTTGATTACGAGTACTGCGTCGTTTCAATGCTTCATTGTAGTGTTGCTGACATACACAAAGGTATACATGATGACAAACCTACACACAAATACACTCTAAACAGAGCCGCAGAGACCGACACAAAACGGCTTCTCGTTCTGGCTGTCCTTATGTAACAGCACATAAAAGTCACCTCTGCTGCAACGCTGGCCGGATCATTTTTGAAACGACACGTTTTATGACGAACTGATAACGCCACTACCTCCTGTTGCTAGGAAACAGAGGTTTCCCTCCTCCTCGTCTCTCTCTCTCTCTCTCTCTCTCTCTCTCTCTCTCTCTCTCTCTCTCTCCAATGCGGCAGGAAAAGAAGGGGGCGAGCAGAGCGGCTGATCGACCGTTCACCTGAAGGCAGATTGATGCCTGATCTTAAAAAAACGTCACAGCATCACAGAACGTCTCCTAAAGGCAGAAACATGAGATCTGATATCTGAGCCCGGCTCTGCAGAAAAGTGATTCAGTACCAGATTTTATCCTTTCCCTGTTCCTGCAGCATCGGAGCATCTGAGTTAGCGATGATCAAGAGCCAAATGTGGATCTTTATGGTGGTTACAGAAGCCGAGAGCCAGACTGCTGATTGCACTGTGAGTGATATGATCTGTGATGACAGCGGGTGATGAAGCGGGACCAATCTGACATCAAGACAGAGCTACTTTAGTCTTATAATATCCGTTATAATAAAGTATAATATAAGCGGCATATTTCTGCAAACAAATGCTTTGCCATGCTCGCGTCTCGTTCAGAACAGAAGGAAACGACAACCGAGGATTATACTCCAACAACTGTGTATGTTGTGTTCATATTTTTTGCTGAGGTTTAGTGTTGACATCATTTAAACTTTGAATAAAACGTAATGCTGCTGTGACGAGAAACACGTTGCTGTTTAAACCATATGTTGCTTTGCGTAAAACTATCATTTTAAAGTTTTGTTAAAAAAAAAAAAAAAAGCAAAAACATTGAGCATGTAAGGAGAAAATATGAGAACATCATTGACGCCTCCTGTTCTTATGTAGAAAGAGGACGTGGTGAGTTTGGTTAAGATAACACCAATGCACTGCTATAAATATCTGACCAAGCACGGGAGGCTGTATCACCATGGAAACAGGGCTCGCCAACACATTTACCTAAATATAGGAATAACATGTTGTTGTAATTTCATTTGTAACAATGACACGTTTATATCCACCACCGATACCACCACCATCACACCAACAAGTACAGTGGAGGGGGGACGAACTGAAAAAGGAGGTGTGATGACAAAATGTGAACCCCAAACAAATCCATGACCCCAAAAAAAACAAAATATACCACAGATAGTGACACAGTGAGGTCGATGTGAGAGGAGGCTGATCAAAATGCAGAGGACACTCAAATCAATGAACACCACCAACTGAAATAAAAAAATAAAAATAAAAAACACGATGCATACGAGACCCAGAGCGTGATAAGAGGAGGGAGTAGGTGGTAAATGACCAAGTCACCAAGCACAGGCAGGCAGGCAGGCCACCAGAGACGACAGTTATAATAAATCAAGAAGAAAAATCAAAAACCAGATTAGAGGAGGAGGAGGAGGAGGTGGGGGATGAAGAGGAAGGGAAAGGGAAGGGTGGAGGGAGCCTGGTTGGACATTGACGTCGGGTCGTCCTTACTTCTGTTGGGGGAGTTCCAGAGCGTGGCAGAGGACTTGGACAGCCTGTTGTTAATGACAGGGTCCACCTGTCTCGGCAAGTTGACCGTGGAGGCCGAGCATCTGCCTGCACCGGAGAGAACGCAACACACAACAAGTGTTCACAAGGGCGGCCCCCCCCCAGCTTTAAGGACTTTAAGGGGGGATTTTTTTGGGCTGCCGGCTTCCCTCGGTCTGGATCTGAACCTGGGCGTGTACTCACCGATCCCTGAGGGTCAAACTGGCTCGTTATTGACAAGGAGGAATTAATCTGAATCGAGGGTTTGCAAGGAAATGGGGAAGAAATTTAAGGAAAGTTTGGGAAGGGGTTTGGTATCCTGAGATATAACAAGTAGAGGGACTGCTTTCTGCTTTTTGAAACTAGGACTCGCGCACACACACGCGTGCGCGCTCGCACAAATTCAGGATCTTTCACACTTGTCTTCACCTTGGTGTCACGGGTTAAAAAAAGGCCGCCAGTCACATGTATGAGACCAAAAAACAGGACAGGTCTGAAAGGCAAAATTAGCTCACAGCTCCCTGAAAAGCCCTCCTCACACTGCTGAGCTAATGAAACGTCATGACAGCTAACCTCGTCGCTCATTTTCTGCCTCTGTGATCACTTTTAAGTGGAGAAAATTGGTACCCAAAATCCCTTTTTAGTCTAAAAACACAGAGAGGGATTAAAAAGGTTTAACATCACAAATCACTGAGTAGCCTATGTTTTCTTGTTCTCCGCCTTTCTGACTGCAAACCCTTCAGGAACTGTTTCCTGGAGTTGCATCAGTCTGACCGGTGAGTCACAGTCTGCAGCGTTTCCTCAACATGATCGAGTGCTCGAGTAACTCTCAGGATGTGATAAAAATCTCTATTCATTTTGTGTTCTGCTGTGAAGTGTTGTCGAGGTTTGTTGTTTATCTCGAACTCACTTTCTCTGCGGGAGGTTTGGTTGAGTCCGCCCGCCCAGGACCACCTCTGCTGCCGGATCTCTGCCCACGTCTTCTTTGTCGACCGCTTGATAGCAGACTCGTATCTCTCCTGTGAGGCCACACAGTCAAATCTGAGTCAGTCTTTGCACGTACTCCCAACCTTAACTGTTCATCTGACTGATTAAAGTAATAGTTTGATGCTTCTTAAATTGAGGTTACTTTTGTTTCTGTATGTAGGATTTACAGCCAGAAGCTTCTTAGCTTAACATAAAAATCTGGAAATGGGAGGGAACCTCTCGATCCCTAAATGTCTTGGTCTTGTCTCAGTCTCGATCTCTAAATGTCTTGGTCTTGTCTCGATCTCTAAATGTCTTGGTCTTGTCTCGGTCTCGATCCCTAAATGTCTTGGTCTTGTCTCGATCTCTAAATGTCTTGGTCTTGTCTCGGTCTCTAAATGTCTTGGTCTTGACTCGGTCTCGATCTCTAAATGTCTTGGTCTTGTCTCGATCTCTAAATGTCTTGGTCTTGTCTCGGTCTCGATCCCTAAATGTCTTGGTCTTGTCTCGGTCTCGATCCCTAAATGTCTTGGTCTTGACTCGGTCTCGATCCCTAAATGTCTTGGTCTTGACTCGGTCTCGATCCCTAAATGTGTTGGTCTTGTCTCGATCTCTAAATGTCTCGGTCTTGTCTCGGTCTCGGTCCCTAAATGTCTTGGTCTTGTCTCGGTCTCGATCCCTAAATGTCTTGGTCTTGTCTCGATCTCTAAATGTCTCGGTCTTGTCTCGGTCTCGGTCCCTAAATGTCTCGGTCTTGTCTCGGTCTCGATCCCTAAATGTCTTGGTTTTGTCTCGGTCTCGATCCCTAAATGTCTCGGTCTCGATCCCTAAATGTCTTGGTCTTGACTCGGTCTCAATCCCTAAATGTCTCGGTTTTGTCTCGGTCTCGATCCCTAAATGTCTTGGTCTTGTCTCGGTCTCGGTCCCTAAATGTCTTGGTCTTGACTCGGTCTTGACTCGGTCTTGACTCGGTCTCGATCCCTAAATGTCTCGGTCTTGTCTCGGTCTCGGAGCCCTCTGGTCTCAGGTATGTCTTAAAGTCTGGTCTTGACTTCAACACTATAAAGAAGTGTTAAAACAAAGGGGGCTTACAAGCAGAAAAGTAAAGCGCTGGGAATTTTTCAATAACGTGTAAACCAGTAAATTTGAAAAATAACAAAAGTACAAAATCAAGAAGAACCGCGTTTCCTCACCTTGTTCTTCTCTAGTTTCTGTCTCTGTTTCTCCTCCAGCAGGGCTCGGCGTTTCTCAGTCTTCAGCCTCTGCTCCTCCAGCTTCCTCCTGCGATCCTCCAGCTGGCTCTCCCTCAGACGTCGGGCCTTCTCCTCCTTCTCCAGCCACTGGGCCTTCTTAGCAGCTGCGGGGTCACCACAGAGAGAGAGAGAGGTTTAAATGAGAACAGTGAAGCGAGAGTGGAGGATAAATAATTAGAAAGAGAATTAGAAAACAAATGATTGCTGCGGATGTTTTCCTTTAATGATGTGCTTTTTGAGCCAATTCAGGCTCACAGCGAGCTAGCTAGTGTTGCTAAGTTGTTATTTCATGTTTGTTAGCAAAGCCCAGACTCTTTCTCTCCCCACATTTGTTAACAACATTGACAAAATAAAAACTTTTTTACACTGCACTTCCTGGAATAACTTTGTATATTTACATTTTTTTGGAGTCTACAGGTGAAGCTTTAATTAGTGACATTAGTGCTTCAGCTAAATGCAAACATTTACATATTGATATTGGGGCACATTTATAATGACTGAGTTAAACACTGACATTTAGCAGGTGCTAATTATCATGCTCATTATGTGAGCTTAGCTAATTAGCAGACTGACATTTGGAAAATTAGCAAAGTACAGCTGAGGCTCAGTTAGTCACAAATCAAAGCAGAGAGAATTGGAGCAGATGAAGGTAAATAACCAACCTAAGGGACCCCAAAAGTTATTATATAACATCTAAAGGGGGGTAATGACAATATGCATCATATACTATCGTAATCCATTCAATAGTTGTTCATGTCGACCTCATGATGGAGGAACCTTAATCAACAGGATTCATCCTCTTTGAACCAAGAATCACTTTTGAACATGTTGTGCTAATCTATTGAGTGGATATATATCGAAAGCCCTCAAATCCAGCTGTGCAACATCACTTTAACTCTTGCTTTGCCTCTCGGGAGCGGGGTGAAGCAGATGGGCGATGCTGTGATCATTGCTCTGTAATCCCGGTTACAGTAAATAAGCAGAAGTTCCCCCGCTGAGTTCTACAACAGCGGCCTCCAGCAGAGACCGGTTTGTCTTTGCACATACGCTGCTGCGGCTCATTTCTTAGAGGAGCATTTAAACTGCATCAATCCTCTTAAACACAGTACCCCCACCCGCACCCCCCTTCCCTTTTTTGTGCTGAGCAGCAGCTGTCTCACTCTCCTTTGAGTTTAAGACGAACACTTTTCTTATCGCGTGCAGATAAGCCTGCTTACAAAACATTGAAAAGGTCAGTATGAAAGATGATGAGGGGGTGTTACATGCCGGAGCCGACCAAAGTTATGACGTGATTCTTTTTTTTTTTTGGGGTGGTTTAAGCTGGGATGTAGCAATGCTGCAAAACAAAACACCTGTGTTAGGTGAAGTTCAGTTTTCTGCAGCCCGTCTTCACTAATGATTCAAAGAGACGGAGAAGTCTGAGCTTTATAATCAACGACAAAGCCCTCCTCACTCCTCCTTTAATCCAATTTCCTCCCCAAGGAAAAATCTAATTAAGTTTAAATTCTGTGAAGCAGGGGTGAAAAATATTGTCATTTTAAAGCTTGTGAGCCTGTTACTGCAGAGATTCTCTTAAAACATGCAAATACAAAACACACAATTCTTTACAATCCGTTCACATTTATGCTTTAAGTTCACTAAAAGCCGTTGAAACACACAGTCCTCTACCAGGACAGGCAGAAGCAGACTACTAACTAATCTAAGATCTAATGCAGCTCAGAAAGCCTCGGATGGTATCGATAAAAGACGCGGCAGAATTCCCCTTGAACTGTTGGCGCGGCTGCAGCAGCATGACGAAATCACTGATGCTAATGAAAGTAGTAATTAAATCTAATCTGTCTGAGAGGCCCCGGTCTGGAGTCTTGCTAATGACGGCTCATTTTTCACAAACCAAGTGCCTCGAGGCTCCCTGGGACGTCTCTGCTCTGCTTTGGCCTCCTTCCCACAGGGAGAAGAAGTGAGGGTTTGAAATCTAGATTTAGACGGTCATGTCTTTGGGCTGGAACAGTATTTACAGAAGAAAAAAAAGTGGGATTCTCCAGTCACAAAGTCGAGCCATGATTATATGTGTTGGGCAATGCACGCTGGGTGGGAATGCAGAAGAACATAAAGGAAGCTAAGGAAAAAAATGTAACTGATGAGGGTTCACAGGGTTCAGAAATGTCCCCCGAATGACAGCAGAAAACAAAATAGAAAAACACAATTGTAAAAGTAAAATCATGGCAGTGTTTCTTTATTATTAAGTTTGATTAATGGCGTGGCGGCTGCGATGGACTCTGATTGGTTTTTAGTGAAGCCCCTTACCTTGCAGCTGAGTTTGTTGTTCTGAAAGCCGTGCGAGAGAGAGAGACAATAAGAGACGACAGTAACTGTGTCAGTCACGTCAGTAAAAGAGTGACAGAGGACACAGAGGCATGTTAATACTGCAGGAGGAATAGAACAGGAGACGTGCCATGCATCAAGTCAACAAATGAGCACTTCATGCATTACAAGAAGAGATTTGTTTGAGGAGCGTTTCGTATTGTTTTGGTCCAGAACAGACGTTTTCTCACCGATATATTTGGCTCTTTCCTCCCTCCGCTCCTTGGCAAGTTTCTGTCGTTGCTCTGAGTTCATCGAGTCTGTAGGAAGAAGACAAAAGTAAAGATTTTAGTTAAGGCCAAAAAAATAAACCAAAACAAAGAGACAAAAAAAATCAGAAGCACTGAAAAATGTTTGGTGGCGATTATTTGTGTTTTTTAAAACCAGAAACTCCTTTCATATAAGATATTACAGTTCTCTCCAATGATTAGATTTTAAGATATTGATGTGAGCAGCTCCTTCTTGCATCATAATCATTATACTTGACAGCTCTTTCACACAACAGATGCACCGTTAACGAGGGTCTAATTCAGGATTTTTTGACCCGTGTTGGAATGTCTGCACGTTCACACGGACGCGAGACAGTCGAGGTGGTTTGAGTCTGAAGTTTAGCTCGAGACACTTCCCTCCAGAGGGTTTTCACAGGAGCAGCTCCGTCTGAGAGAAGACTCAGAGCATGCTCGGAGGATTTACATCCCCATCTGGCCCTGGAAATGTCTGAG